TCTCATACAGTCACTTGTGCCCCGTTTCTCACAGTTGCCTGGTGTCATGCACACCATCTCTCACAATCTCACCCCATGGTCACCACCTCACAGAGCAATCAGCCACTACACAGTCTCTGCCCATGACGTGTGCATGTACACGCCATATCATACACCCTGGTTGCTGTCACACGCGGTTTCACATACTAGTACACAGTCATACTTGCACTCCTGTGCCTCCCAGACTTGACACTGGCTTCTTTTCTTTCTGTGATGCCTTGCGGTTTCTAGTCTGGATACCATCCTTCCGCATGGTCAGTGGTCGGTTCACCTGATGAAAGAGAGGCCATGAGTGTTCCCCAACCTCAGACTCTTGTCCCTGTGTCTCCACCCTTTCCACCCCACTCCTTAAGAGTAGGGAACTGGGTCAAGGACTAGGGGAGCAGCCCCAGCTGTGGCACAGATAATGCCCTAAGGAATCATGAGCTTGTGAGGCCCTAAGCCAGGGGAGCCTCTAACCATAGGACTAGCTGATGGCTGGAGGGGAGGGGAAAGGAGATGAGAAATGGAGGAGAGAGAAGGGAGTAGGAGGGGAAAGAAAGGCGGAGAGGAGATGGAGGTGCAGAAAAGAGAGGGGTGAGGGGGAAGGAGGAGGGAGGAGAATAACAGGGAGAAGAGAGGAAGGGAGATAGGAAGAATACAGGAAAGGAAAAGAAGGAGAAGGAAGGGAGTGTTGGTGGGATGGGGGAGGGGCAGGTCTCAGGAGACAGGCCACACCTGGTGTAATTTGTAATAGAGGCCGCAGGCATTGCACACGGGGTCCCCACTGGCATTCCTCCGCCACAGTGTCGTGGTAGTTGTCTGGCAGTTGGTGCACTGGGTACCTGCCCGCTTGCTGACGATCTGGGGGCAGCAAGAATGTGAGGGTCAGTGCACTGGGGGGTGGAGGACCCAGGAGGTGAGGGTCAGGGTGCAGGCAGGGCTTCCTGGACAAGGCGTAGACTGAGGGTTCTCTGAGGGGCGAGGACATGGCCTCCTGTCCTGGGGCTTTCCAAATGGCGTGGGGTGCTTCATCAGTGGTTCTCAATGTTGGCGGACATTGGACTCACTGGGGGAGTCGAAAACAATCCTGATGCCCAGGCAGCGCCCCAGACCAAGTAAATCAACCCATCTAGGGAGGGCCCCTCGGTGATCCCAGTGTGTAGCCAAGGATGAAAACTGCTGTGCAGGGAGTGGACGGCGTGCCTGCTTGCAGCCTGAGGGTGGGCTGAGGGTAGACACTCCTGTACAGAGCTGGGTTCCTGAATGAATGGGACAGGGAGGGGGGATGTGGGTTCTCATAGAGTATGAGGACAGAGATCCCTGCACGGAGTGAGAACAGAGTACCTGGGTGAGGGGAGGCGGGCCTGGGGTCTTACCAGGCGCTTTTTGGGCCGGATGAGGGGCCTGTTTTGCCCATTCATCTTGTGATAGAGGCCACAGGCATTGCACAGGTAGTGGCCTGTCCTGTCTCGCCGCCACAGTGGAGTGGCTGTCGCTCCGCAGTTCACACACTCCCTGGCCTCTGGTGAGGTGGACAGGGGGGAAGAAGAGGGAACCAGGCTCAGCCCAGCTTTGCCTTGGACCCCATCCCCCTCCTCAACCTCCCTGTCCCTTTTGGGGAACCTCACCACAGGTGGCCAGGGGCAGTGTTCCACGAAGCTTGGGGGAGGAATAGGCTGCTGGATTGAGGGGGCTTCCGGTGGGAGAAAAGAAGTTACTGGGAAAGTCAGGGCCCCCATAGGCACTGCTGGGGACAGGGATGGATGAAGGCACTGCAGGTCCCAGTGTCAACAGGTCTGGACTCAGTCGCTCTGTCTTTAACGTTTCTAGGAAACTGCCTTTTCCATCCGGATCTTCTGAGGCCTGGGGTGGGGAGTCCTCGCGGGTGGGGCACACAGTGGAGGGAGGGTAGAGCCCAGTCTTGCCATAGGCCCAGCTGGTGTATGGTGAGCCCCCTGGGATTCCCTCCATACAGTTGAGCAATGGGTACACCTGAAAGACTGTTAGGGGGTGGGGATGGGAAGGAAGAAAGAAGGGGACAGAAGGTCTTAAGCCATACTGCTTTCAGGGTGCAGTGATGCCCAACAGCCCCACATGGTGGCCAACCTTCCCATAGGTTGCCAGAGCAGCTGCTGGCCCTGAAGGACTCCTGGGTCTGAGCCCCACTGGTCACTCTGGCAACTGTAGTCACCTGCAGCCATTTCCCAATGGGCTTTGAGCATAACTGTGTGGAGCTCCAGGGGTCACTCAACCACTAGGGCCACCCCCACCTACTTACAACATTGATTCCCGATGTGGCGGGTTGAGGTGGATGGACAGTCCCGGGTCTGCACATAAGTGGGGAACGTGGTCCACATACCTCATGAAGGCGTCTGGCCATTTCCATGATGGCCTCTTTGTGCGGTTCTACCCTAGCCAAGGGTCTCCATGGCAATCCCAACAGCATGGAACCCATGCCAGAAAAACCACCCAAAGGAGTTACCTGGGGAGTGTCTGTAGGCCTCCGCATCCCTGTAGTAGGCCAGTGCAGCAGCTGCAGCCGAGGCAGTGTTTGGGGCAGTGGAAGAAGCTGCTGCATCCAAGCCTTCAGGCCCAGAGGGGAAGAAGACCCCTGACTCTGGTAGTGAGGACACCAGGGCAGGGTCCACAAACTGGGGTAGGGGCTCAGAGGTCCCCAGGGCCCCTAGGCCAGGGAACTCCATGGGGCCTCTGAGGTTTGACCTGTGAGGACAGGAGGGGTCCTCAGACACTGAAATCATTCCCCTTCCCTCTCCTCTCCACACCCTCTTTCCTCCTTTCTCCTCCCACTCCATCCACTCAATCTTTATATCCCTCCTTTCCATCTCTGTAGGTCCCTTCTCCCCCTCCCCTCCTCTTTTTCTTCCCTTACCACTCCTACCTCATCTCTCCCCATCCTCCTCTCCTTTCCCATTCTCCTCCCCTTCTTGCCTCATTTGTTTTTTCTTCCCTCTTCCTCTCCCTCCTACACCCCCTTCTCTTCCTTCCTCTCCTCTTCCTCCCTCCCTTTCCTTCTCTTCTTCCTCCTTTTCCTCCCTTTCTTCTCTTCCCTCTTCCTCCTCCCTCCCTCCCATCTCTTCTTTTCCCTCCTCTCACTCAACTTCCCTTCTTTCTTCTCTCCTCTCCCCCTCTTCCTTCTCTTTCCACTCCTCCTTCTTCCTCCTCACTCTCCCCCCCCTTCCCCTCCTCCTCTTCCTCTCCCTTACCCCCTCATCCTCTCTCCCTGGTCCCCTTTCTCTTCTCTCCTTCTATCTCTTCCTCCTTCTCTCCTCTCCTCCCCCTAAACCACCTTCTATCCCTTTCCCCCTTTCTACATCTCCTCCACTCCTCTCTCCTCTCCTCCTTTTTCTTCATCCTCCTCTCCCTCTCTTTCTGTTCATCTCTTTCTCTCTGCTCATTTTTTCCTCCTGTCCTCCTCTTCCTCTTCCTCTTCTTGTTCTTCTTCTTCCCCTGCCCCCATCTTCCCTTCTCTCCCCCTCTAGAGGAGTCTGGGTTGGGTGGGATGGAGTGTAGAATTAGAGTTCCATGAACTCCTTGGTCACCCCCTTGGACCTGGGGGTTCACCCTCTTATGCTCCCCAGTTTCATCCCTATCTGCTGCATCTTGCCTTCTGACTTTCTCAGAAACCCCAAGGTTTCCGGCTTGACTCCCCCTCCCCCACCTCAGTTGCATCTGCAGAGAGAGTTCCTCCCTGATGGGGGGGTCAGTACCTCCCACTGCTTATCTCTGCCATCCCCGCCCAACTTTTGAAATCACCCCAAGGCCACTGGCTTCCTCTGAGAAGGGGGACAGGTGGGAGGTGTTCCCTTTACCCATACCCACTTCCCTGGGGAGGCTGGCCCTAGTTCTGCTTTCTGCTTCCTTCAGCCCCCGCCATCCCCAGGCCTCAGTTTCCCCATTTGCCAGATAGGTGGTGACAGGGCCAAGCTAAGACCTGTGAGATGGCAGCTTGGTCTATGCCCCTTTGCCACTATACTTCTCTGTGTATATCACTGTCTCCTTGGGTCTTTTTCTGTAACACTGTTTCTTTGCTCTCTGTATTTCATATCATTTCTATGCTACCATGGTATATATTGCTCTCTTTCTCTACTTTTATAAATGTCTAGTGGTTTTCTCTCGCTTTGTCTGTCTTTCCATGTCTCTATCTCTATGATTGTTTCTCTCCATCTTTCTCTCTGTCTTTTTAAACAATTCTTTATTGTTGAAAGTTTTACATATGTCTCCTTTTCCCCCCATTGACCTCTCCCTGCCCGCTCCCACCCCCAGTACATGCTCTCACCCCACTACTGTCCTTGTCTATTGGTCGTGCTCATATGCATGGATACAAGTCCTTTGGTTGATCTCTTACTGCCCCCTCCCCTGCCTTCCCTCTGAGGTTTGATGTATCTCTCTGTCTTTTTTTTAAAATATGTTTTTATTTATGAGAGAGAGAGGTGAAGAAAAACAAACAAACATTGACCAGGGAATTGAACCGGCAACCCCTCAGTACATGGGACAGCACTCAACCAACTGAGCAACACCGGCCAGGGCTGTCTCTCTGTCTTTTTATCTCTTTTTGTTTCTCCTTTTCTTAGTTTTCTTTGTACCTTTTTCTCTTCTCTCTCCCTCTCTACTCATATCTACATCTTTCACATTCTGTCTCTTTCTGCTTGTTTGTCTCTCCCTGCTTTCTCTCTCTCTCTGGGCCCTCTGGCCTTATTTCCATATCTGTTTTATTATTCCCATATCCCGGACCAGACCCCACTGCACATAGCTCCAGATGAAGATCCAGGAAACCTACCCTTGACCATGACTTGTCCTGTGAACCTAAAGTCCTCAGTGTCCCTGTCTGTAGGCTAGAGTGATGGAGATAGAATGGAAGGCCCCTTCCAACCCCCTGCTTATGTGAAGGGTTAGGCCCGGGGTTGGGGGTTATGCTGGTAAAGAGATGGCCCTGTGGATGTGCCCACAACCAACCTAGACTCCAGGATCTCTCCCCAGGGAGGGGTCTTGTCTCCTCATCTCAGCCTTCATCTCTTTCATCTCTGTCTCTCCATGATTCTAGTTGTGAGTCTTTCTCTATCCCTCCACCCCCGTTCTTGTCTCACTCTCACTTCTGTTTCCGGGGTCTCCTGCTCTCCTGCTGTCTCTCTATCTCATTCTTTCTGAGTCTCTGTTTCTCCTTTCTCTGTATATCTGTCTCTTGCTCTTTTTTTCTCTATTATTCCTCTCATCTCTCTCTGTTTCTTCCTCCTTTCTCTCTTTGTCTTCCTGTGTGTCTTTTGCTTTTTGCCTCTGTCACCACTGTTCCCTTATCCCCTCATCCTCACCTCACTCCCCCATAACCTCCTTCCAACCCCCTCTGACCCCCCTGCATCTGACACCTTGGCGGGTCTAGGGCTGCCCACTCCTCTCATGGCAGGGGCCCAGCCCCCCCTGCCCAGTTATCACTCTCCAGACAGAGATAAAGTTTATCTCAAGGCTGGGGGATATGAAAGCTCCTTATCAGCTGCCCCACTAGAGTAAGTGCTGCCCCAACGGGCAGCAGGCAGCAGGCCGGCACCCTCAACTCTCCCTCGGCCCAGCCCCTCGCCCAGTCCCTCACCCCAGGTAACGTCCCTATTCCAGCCCTCAAGGGAGGGTCCCTCAGGGCTAAAGGGAATAGAGGTGGGGTCTGAGGGCAGATGGCATCTTGGGAGGGTTTGAGGGTCAGATAGGGATTGAGGAGTCCAAGAGGTTTGGGGTATAGCTATGGGGCCTTGGAAAGCAGGTACGGGGTTTGAGGAGCAGAGACAACCTTGAAAGGTCACATTTTGGGATCATAAATAGGTTGGGGAAGCAGAGACAAGGTTGAGGATCAGGGTGAAGTTGGGAGAGAGAAAGTTGAGAAGTTAGAGATGTAGTTTGGGGGTCAGAGATGGATTCTGAATGTCATGGAAAAGTTTGGGGATCCAAGAGTTTTAATGGAGCAGAGATGAAGTTTAGGGGTCAAAGATGGGTTATGGGAGCATAGGAGGAGTTTCAGAACTGAGATAGAATTGGAGTAGAGAAAGATTTGGGGCCAGAGAGACCTGGCGGACAGACTTTTGGGGGCTGAGATGGGGTTTAGGGAAGGCAGACACAAGAATTAATGTGACAGTACAGACTTGGAGAAGTAGACTTGGCGTTTGGGGTGGCAAAGACATTCTGATGAGCAGGCAAGGATTTGGGGGAGACAAATGGTTTGGGGGGATCAGAGAGAAGTCACTGGGAACAAATACAAGGTTTGAGAGTCAGAGATGGGAGTAAGAGGATGGAGCTAGGGTTTGGCAGGCCAGAGATAGGTATGGAGGTCAAAGCGAGAAATTAGGGCAGAGGCAAGGATGTTGTAGAGCAGATAGGACTTGGGGAGCAGAAATAGTTGGGGTGGGAGAGTGAGTTTTGGGGGAGAATTTGTATACAGAGACAAGTTCAGGTGAGGGAAAATCAGATTTTGGGCAGAAGTAGGATTTGGGGGATAAAAACATGTTTTAGGGGCAGAAATGGGGTATGGGGAACATTTAGGGATCAGAGGAACGTAGGTATTTTGGAAGGTGTAGATGGGAGTCAGGGCAGAAAGTAGGGTAGAGGGGTAGGTTTGGGATAGGAATGGGGGTTGGAAAGGCAGAGGTGGTCTGGAGGATCTACCAAGGGATTCAGGGGTGGTAGACACTTTGGGGGCCAGGGGTAGGTTGGGGAACCTGAAGCAGGCTAGGGGGATAGCCTTGAGGTAAGAGGCAGCAGGCCCGGAGTTTGCCTTGCTGGGGACTCTCGGGGGGCTGAGACTGACCTGGGCTGGTTGGTGCAGAGGGTTCAGCTGCTTTGGGGATGTGGCGAGCTCAGTGTGATCCCAGGGGGTGTCCTGCCTGGCCTTGGCCTTTGAGGCTCCCTTCCTCCTTCTCTCCCTCCCTCCCCTCTCCCTCCTCCCTCCTCCCCAGGGAGTGGCTGGTGCAGCAGTGGGTGGGGCAGACCAGGGGAGGGGGCGGGCCTCCTGCTGGTGGGGTACCGCTTGGGCCGTGGGGACCCTCCTCCATCCCACCTGCCCACCCCATGGATTCTTGGACCCTATTTGACTTGGGCTCCCATGGACTTCAGTGTCCAACCAAACAGTATGGGCTGAAGCCAAGATAAAATGAAAATAGCAGATGTGGTTTCATGACTCTGCTTGGCTTTTCAGTGAGTGAGTGTAAAGCCCCTACTATGTGCTGGGCCAGGTGTGGGCTGGGCACTTATGTATGTGAGTCTTACTGGCCATAGGAATAGGAGGGGAGTGACTGTACCCATTGTGCACTCAAGAAAAATGAGATTCAGAAAGGTTAAGTAGGATTTAAACCAGAGCCCATGGGACATCTTGACGACCCAGGCCCAGCCCAGGGGCCAGGGCAGGGCTGGTGGGAGGCAGGGGCACACTCACTCAGCACCCCACTGGGGCTTACGCCAGCTCTGGCCTGTCCTGGGGCAGCAGATAAGTCTTATCAGATGGAGGCCACTGTGGCTGTTGGCTCCGCGGTAACAGGCTGACTTGGGATGGGGGGCGGAGCTGGGGGGCACCCAGGGACAGCGGCCTCAACTTCTTGCCCGCCATGCTGCTCTGGTGGCGGGAAACAGGTGGAACTAGGAGTTAGTCCCTCTGCCGGTCCTTGAGGAGTGGGATGGGGTGGGGGAAGGAAAGGAGAAATTGGAGGGATAGAGAAGAGTGAGACACAGAGATGGAAATTGGGAGACTCAGAGAAATAAGAAAGAAACAGAGCTGGAAGGAGGCACAGAAAGAAAGGAGAGAGGGAGAGAGATGCACAGAGAGAGAGAGCCAGAGACAGTTAAAAACAGATAGATAAGCAAAGAGAACGAGAGACAGAGATGGACAGAAGGGAAAGATAAAGTCTGGAAATGACAGAGGCCAACAACAGGTGGAGAAACAGAAGGGAGACGAAGTCGATGCTACAGAGAGGGGCACAGAGACAGAGAGATATTCAGAGACAGAGAGCCTGAGAAGAAGTCCATGGGACCCCACGTGGCAGCCTGGTATACCCTGGGCAGGTGGTGCTGAGGGTGGTGGGACACGGGAATGTGGACTGATGTGGACCCATGTGGCCTGTGGCTCTGCCCTCAACCGGCTGAGAGGGGCCCTCAGAGAATCGCTGTTCCTCTGCACCACAATTCCCACCTTCCTGCCCTGTCCTACTTCCCCCGAATAGTAACAGCAGTGACAACAACCAGTGTCTCATGCTATCATAGACTCATGCCTGGCCTGTTCTGAGCACTTTCTCCATATGAAAACATTGGACACATGTGCACAGTTCACAAAGTAGGTGTCCAACTTGGGTCCCCATAGGGAAGCGGGTAAGACTACCCAGTCACGGCCCCAGAACTCCATGGGACAGGGAGCTCTCCTGACCACTCATTCTACAGATGGGGAGACCGAGACCCACTGAGGGCAGAGGGCAAGGATGGAGCCCTGGGTCAGTGGGGTCTGCTCACCCGTGGACCCACCCCAGAGGGAGTTTCCCATCCTCATCTTGTCCCTCTGGCCTCAGTGTTCTCATATGCAAAATGGGAGTTTTAAGGAGGAAAGAGAGCAAGACCACGACTTGGAATTTATTGAGCTACTGCTTTGTGCCACGCCCATGTCGAGCCCTCATTGGTAAGAATGAAGAAAAGACCCAATGACCTAAGTGAAGATGGTTTCAGGACATCCACTCTGGAGCCAGCCCACCCTCATTTATAGACCCCCTGCCACCCACTGGGTGAGTTGCTTTCTGCTCTGGACCTCAGTTCCTCATCTGTAAAGATGGGGTAATAATAGTGGCTACTCCATAGGGTGACAGGGCCACTAAACAAGATTGAATCCATTAAAGTGATTTTAACTCACTTGAATCTGAAATCTCAATAACTTAAATATTCTTATTTATTTATTGAGTACCTACTGTATATGAGGGATAGTACTTGGACCTTTTTTACTAGAATTACTACTAATTCTAATATTGATGCTAATAATATGCTGACGCCAATACCAATTCTAATTACTAATACTAATTCTAATATTGATACTAGCACTAATACTAATTTTAATAATATAGTAATACTAATGCTAATTCCAATTTAGCAGTAATACTATTGTTAATACTATTTCTAAAACTAATGATTATTATTCATCCTAATTCTACCAACAATAATGATAATAATACTGATTTGGATACTTTTCTTAGCATTAATATAATAACAACAACAGCAACAATGCTTGCCAAGCCACCCCAGGCACTGTGCTAAGTGCTCTCCCTGCATCATAGTATCTATCCCATTCTCTTCAGGTCCTTGTGTGTAAGGGCATATAATGGCCTCCATCTTCCAGATTAGAGTAGGCACAGAGAAATGAAGATGTTCATCCAAGCCCTAGGTTCTTGTCTCAGTTCTGACACTGATTTGCTCATGATTCCTGGGCAAGCCACACTCTGAACCCAGTTCCTTCACCTGGAAAATGGGCGCAAATCATAGAATCCCCATCAAATATTGTTGAGATGCCACTCAACACAGGGCCTGCCTGGCACACCATAAATGGTGAGCTCTGTAAAGGTAACTCTCCTCAATGTTAGTATTACTAGAAACAGCAGTTGCAGGGTAGGGGGAGAGGTAGGGAAATCTGTCTTCCAGGGGAAGGGCAGACTGGTGGCACATCTCACACAAGGATTTGGCCGCTAGACTCATGGCCCATTTCTTCATAACTGGGGGGAGAAAGGGCTCAGGAAGGGAAGTGAAGGGTGGGGAATGGGGGCCTCAGAGCCCTGCCTCCATCAAGAGCTAGAAACTCTAAGGCTCTGAGGCCAGGCCTCACCCTGTTCCCTCCCCCATCCCTGTGGAGGGGGCACAGGCCCAGAAGTCTGCGGCTACAGTTCAGCCAGCAGGGAGGCAGCTGGGAGTGGGCAGATAAGGGAATCAGTGGGGCCAGGCAAGGCTTTGGGGGAGACCCACGAGGGCAGGGCGGGAGGTGGGGGTGAGGGTGGGGGTGGAGTGTCCCAGCCAAGCATCCACTTTGTCAGACCGCCATTTGAGACCAGCCCCAACGTCCTCTCTTCCTTGAAGTCTTCCCTGACTGGTTCCTTCTCTCTTGGCATCTTTCAGGGTTCTAGAGCTTGGTGCCAGCCCATGGCATTTGGACTATTCATGCCTCTTGCAGATTGTGGAGTCCACCAGGACGGGGACAGAATCCCGCCTTATTTACTTCAGATATGTTTAAAAAGGAACAATATTACAGTACAGTTGAAGTCCTTGCGCCAATTCCATCTCCCTTTCTCCTTCCAATGCCTGGAGTTTGGTATTTATCTTCCTCATGATGCTTTTTATTCCATTCGTACCTATGTATAAACAATATAGGATACTGGGGCTTGGGGGCTTGTTTTTGAACTTCATATAAATGGAATCATACAGTATGTGCTTCTTTTGCTCAGCATAATGGCTGTGACGTTCATCCAGATTGTTGTGTGTATCCATAGTTCATTCTTTTTTATTAAGATGTAATTCACATACCATAAAATTCACCCTTTTAAAGTATACATATCAGTGATTAGTCTATTCACATACAGTTGTGCAGTTATCAACACTATCAATTCTAGAACACTTTTATCACCCCCAAAAGAAGCCCTGTACCCATTAGCAGTTATTTCCCATTCCATTTCTGCTTCCCCCAAGTCCCTGGCAATACTAATCTAATTTCTGTCATGGATGTGCCTGTTCTGGACATTTCATATAAATGGAATCATACAATATGAGGAACAGAATTACAGGTAATTCTGTTTAACTTTTTGAGGAACTACAAAAGTGTTCTCCACTGAAGCTGTAGGAGGGCTCCAATTTATCCACATCCTTTCCAACACTTGATATTGTCCTGCTTTCTAAAAAATATATTTTTATTGATTTCAGAGAGGAAGGGAGAGGGAGAGAGAGAGAGAAACATCAATGATAAGACAAAATCATTGATCGGCTGCTTCCTATCCCCCCCCCCCCACTGAGGATCGAGCCCACAACCCAGGCATGTGCCCTTGGCCAGAATCGAACCTGGGACCCTTCAGTCCACAGGCCGATGATCTATCCACTGAGCCAAAGCAGCTAGGGCTTGTTCTGCTTTTTTATTCTAGCCATCTTGACAGGTGTGATGTGCTATTTTATTGTAGTTTTTTTGTTTTTAAAATATATTTTTATTGACTTCAGAGAGGAAGGGAGAGGGAGAGAGAGATAGAAACATCAATGATGAAAGAGAATCATCAATTGGCTGCCTCCTGCACACTCCCTACTGGGGATTGAGCTGGCAACCCGCACTTGCTCAACACTCAACCACTGAGCCACACAGGCGGGACTCAATGTAGTTTTGATTTGCATTTTCCTCATGACTTATGATGTTGAGCTCTTTTTCATGTGGTTGTTCACCATTTGCACATCTTCCTTAGAGAAATGTCTGTTCAAATTATTTGCCCATTTTTAATTGGGTTATTTGTCTTTCTATTGTTGAGTTCTAAGAGTTCTTTGTATATTCTGGATGCTAGACTCTTATGGATATGTGATTTGCAAGTATTTTTTCCTGTTTGTGGGTTGACTTTTCATTTTCTTGAGAGTTACATTTGAAGCACAAAAGTTTTTAGTTTTAACAAAGCTCAATTAATTTACATTTTCTTTGGTTGCTTATGTTTTAGGTGCCATATTTAAGAAACCATTGCCTAATGCAAGGTCACAAAGATTTATGCCTAAGTTTTCTTATAAGAGTTTTGTAGTTTTAGGTCTTTGATTCATTTTTTAAAATTTTATTTTTCATATGTTTATTTTCTTTAAAAAATTTAAATATATTTTTATTGATTTCAGAGAGGAAGAGAGAGGAAAAGAGATAGAAACATTAATGATGAGAAAGAATCATTGATCGGCTGCCTTCTGCACGCCTCCTACTGGGGACTGAGCCCACAATGGGCATGTGCCCTGAATCGAACTGTGACCTCCTCACCACTGAGCCAGACTGGCTAGGCCTTTGATTAATTTTGAGTTAATTTTTGTATCTGGTGTTAGTAGGGAATCCAAATTCATTCTTTTGTTTATGGATAGCCAGCTGTCCCAGCACCATTTGTTGAAAACACTATTTTTTTTCTCCATTGGCTTGCCTTGGCATACTTGTCAAACATCAATTGCCCATATATATTATTTCTGACTCTCAATTCTATTCTGTTGATCTATATTGTCTATTTTTATGCCAGTACCACTCTTGATTACTATAGATATGTAGTAAGTTTTTAAATTGGGATGTGTGAGTCCTCCAACTGTGTTTTTCTTTTTCAAGACTATTGTAGCTGGCCAGTGGCTCAGTTGGCTGGGCTTAGTCCCATGCACCAGGAGGTTGCTGGTTAGATTTCATCAGAGCACATGCCCAGGTTGTGGGCTTGAGCCCCAGTAGGAGGCATGCAGGAGGCAGCCAATTGATGTTTCTCATCAGTGTTTCTATCTCTCTCTTCCTCCCCCTTCCTCTCTCTGAAATCAATAAAAACATTAAAAAGATAAGATTGTTGTAACCATTCTGGGTCCCTAGCATTTCCACATGAATTTTAGGATTGGTTTTTCAATTTCTGCAAAGAAGCAAGATAGGATTCTGATAGGGATTGCATGAAATCTGTAGATCAACTGGGGGAGTATTGCCATCTTTTTAAAAATATATTTTATTGATTTTTTACAGAGAGGAAGGGAGAGGGATAGAGAGTTAGAAACATCGATGAGAGAGAAACATTGATCAGCTGCCTCCTGCACACTCCCTACTGGGGATGTGCCCGCAATCAAGGTACATGCCCTTGACCGGAATCGAACCTGGGACCCTTGAGTCTGCAGGCTGACGCTCTATCCACTGAGCCAAACCGGTTAGGGCCATCTTAACACTATAAACTCTTTTATCTGTAAACATGTGATGTCTTTCCATTTATTTAGGTCTCCTTTAATTTCTTTCAGCAATGTTTTATAGTTTTCAGTGTACAACTCTTGCCCACCTTTTGTTAAATTTATTATTAATTGTTTTTTTAAATATATTTCTTTATTGGTTTCAGAGAGGAAGGGAGAAGGAGAGAGAGATAGAAACATCAATGATGAGAGAGAATCATTGATTGGCTGCCTCCTGCACACCCCCACTGGGGATTGAGCCCGCAATCCAGGCATGTGCCCTTGGCTGGAATCGAACCTGGGACCCTTCAGTCCGCAGGCCGATGCTCTATCCACTGAGCCAAGCCAGCTAGGGCATACTAATTGTTTTTGATGCTATTGTAAATGGAATTGTTTTCTTAATTTCACTTTTGGATTATTCATTGCTAACGTATAGAAACTTGATTAAGTTTTGAGTGATCTTATATCCTGTAACCTTGCTGAGTTCACATGTGTATATATGTATGTACATGTACATGTATATGCATATGGTATATATAATGGTTTTGTTGTAGGTTCTTTAGATTTTCTGTGTACAAAAATGTCATCTGCAAATAGAGATAGTTTTACTTCTTTTTTCCAATATGAATGACTTTTTTTTTTTCTTACCTAATTGCCTTGACTAGAACCTCCAGTACAATGTTGAATAGAAGTGGTGAGAGGAAGCATCCTTGACTTGTTTCTGATCTTTGGGAGAAAGCTTTCTGTCTTTCGCCATTAAGTATGAGGTTAGCTGTAGGCTTTTTGTAGATGCCCTTTATCAGATTGAGGAAGTTATCTTATGTTCCTAGTTTGTTGAGTGTTTTTTTTATCATGAAAGGGTGTTGAATTTTATAAAAAAAAAAATTCTGCATCTATTGAAATTACATAGTTTTTGTACCTTATTCTATTAATCTGGTGTATTTACCTTGATTGATTTTGATATGTTGAACCAATCTTGCATTCCTGATTATGTTGTATAATCCTATTATATGTTGCTGAATTCTATTTACTAGTATTTTATTGAAGATTTTTGCATTTATATTCATGAGATATTGGTCTGTAGTTTTTTTTTCTTGTTATGTCTTTGTCTGGTTTTAATATCAGGTCAGTGCTGGCCTCATGAGATTATTCCCTTTTATTACTGAGAAGTAGTTCGTGTAATGGATATACCATGGTTTGTTTAACAATTCATCGGCTGATGGACATTTGGGTTGTTTCTAGTGTTTTCCCTATTACAGCAAATCTGGAATTTACAAAATCATATTCTTCTTTCTGAGCACAAACATGTGAAAGAGTTTCTCCAGGGGCGGGAGATATCGGTCCATCTATCCATCCATCCATCTACCCACCCACCCAACTGTCCATCCACCCACCCAGCTAAACATTCATTCATCCACCCATCTGCTGCCCACCCCTCCCTCCTTTCCCTCCTTCCTTGTCTCTCTTTCCTTCCTTTCCTTCTTTCCTCCCTTCCTTCCTTCTTTCCTTCCTTCCTTCCTTCCTTCCCTTCCTTCCTTCTTTCCTTCCTTCCTTCCTTCCTTCCTTCCTTCCTTCCTTCCTTCCTTCCTTCCATAAATCATCTATCTCCAGGCACATAACATCTGGATTAAAAATAGGCAGGAAACCTGCTACAGCTTTTGGCAAAGCCTTTCATGTGCTGACGCACACATCCTTACACATCCTCTCTTCCCAGCATTTTTGGGGCTCCCTGAGGGTTCACTCATGGGTCCTGGTTGAATTACCATCTGGGTGGGGACTGTTTAGAGACCAGAGTCCACAAGACTAGGGACTCCCTCACCTCAAATAGACTCTCTTACAAGCTCCTTCATCCATCACTCATTCATTCAGGAAGCCATACTCTTCCCTTCCCTCTATGCCTACCTCATGTGCTGGTTCTTCCCCTTGTTTCTACTCTAAATGTCTCTAGGCCTCTTCTCTAGTTGACATTTTCTCTCTTGAGGAACTCATCCCATCTGTCACTCGTTGCTCCTTCTTCCTCCTCACTGGTCTCCTGCTGTTCCTCACACACACCAGGCACATTCATGCTTTAGGGCCTTTGCACTGGCTCTCTTCTCTGCCTGGTATGCTCTTCTTCCAGCCCCCAGTGCAGCTTCCCCCTCATCTCTGCAGGTCTGTGCTCAAATATCTCCTTCTTAGTGAGGTTTCCCCTGACCATCCTACTACACATTGGAAACTGCCACAGTGATTTGTATCTGAGGTCCTTTTTTTCCCATGTTTTCTTTTCCTCCAAAGTATTTATCATCCTATAACATACTTAGTATTTTCCTTGCTTAATTTTATTTATTTTGTATCTCTCCCACTAGAGTGGTAGCTCTCTGAACAAAGGTTTGCTTATCTCTTCGGTTCAATGCTGTCTCTCCAAAGCCTGGAACAGGGCCAAGCACACAGAGGTGCTCAATATATGTCAGGAGCTGAGCCTCAACTGAGATGAGTTCGGACTTGCTAGATCCAAAGATAGAAAGTTCCACATCCCCTGGGGGTGAGATCAGATAAGGCACACCAAGAGGAGGTAGTATCTGGGATGCTCCTTGAAGGTCCCATCATAGAGATCTTGGGGTTCAGTGAGCCTTTTGAGGTGGAAACATCAGGCATCACCTGGAAGGAGTGA